AAATGGTAAATTTTATGTTGCATATATTTTACCACAATTTGAAAACAAAGAAACAGGCCCAATTCAAACAATAAGAATGTGCACCGGCACATAGAACTAGAGACCCTGAGGTGGGGAGTGCCTCTGGGTTGGCTCTAGTGTTTCCCTTGGTTTACCCTCTTCAGGTTGGTACCAAGATGGCTACTACAGTTTCTCACTCACTGCATCCACATCCCCGGAAGAAAAGAGAACACTTCCATTCCAGCCTTTCAAGCAAAGGGACTGAGCTTCACTCTGATTAGAGTACTGTCATATGCTTATCCCTGAACCCATGACTGTTGCAAGGGGAATAGAATGAAAGATACTATCTCAGCCAAGTCCAGAGCCTGAAGTTGAGGATGGGGCAGCTTCCCTCAGGAACGTGGCCTGCCTTAGGAAGGGATGACTAACTGTTAGGAAAGAGAAAGGAATAGATGGGGATGAGTAGGCAACTAGAAACATTTGCTACCTCACATCCAGCTCAGACATATTGAAAAAGTTTTTCAGGAAATGTGAAAGCCATCCATGGAGGAGAAATTAACAGGTGAACAAGAATAGATAGGTTTTCCTTTTAGCATTAATTCTTAGGAACTGCTAACCTGCAGACTTCGGAACTTTCATCCATACCTCATTGCTTTTGGGGGGACATCTCAGCAAACACCTTTTTCTCTGAGGTATAGTAATATTCATATTACTGGATAAGATGTATCATTTCATTTGCTAAATATTTAGTTTTTAAAGTTTTATTTTTGTTTATGTTTGAGAGAGGGAGAGAGTGCGTACACACATGTGAGCAGGGGAGGGGCAGAGAGAGAGGAGGGACAGAGGATCTGAAGCGGGCTCCATGCTGACAGCAGAGAGCCCAATGCAGGGCTTGAACTCATGAACTGTGAGATCATGACCTGAGCTGAAGTCAGATGCTTAACTGACTGAGCCACTCAGGCACCCCTAAATATTTGAGACCCACTTCCATGTTTTTTAGGCCAGGGAAGAGTGTGGGCAAAAGAAAAGATGTATGAAGGAAAAATGATAAACTACTGGTATAAGTAGTTTGATGTCTCTGGAGCATAGCCTGTGAGAGAATGATAGGAGAGAAGCTGGAAAGTAGAATGGGATCAGATCATAAAAGTCTTTGACTAGGCAGTTCTTGTTTCAGCTTACTTAGGTAAAACACAGTAAAGTGCATTAAGTTTAAGCCAACATCTCAATTTTTACATATGTATATAAATCCATACAATCACCACCCAGATCAAGACCTAAAACATTTCCAGCATTCCAGAAGTTTCCTTCCTGCCTTTCCCAGTCAATCCCCATCCTCAGAGGGAACTACTATTCTGGCCTCAGTTGCTGTTTATTAGTTCTGTCTGTTCTTAAACTTCAGAGAAGTGGACTTGTACAATTTTAGCATTTTTGTGTTTGGCTTCTTTTACTCAATGTGATGGTCATGAGATATCTCTGTGTTGTTGAACGTCTGAGATTTTGTTCATTTTATTGCTCCATAGTATTCCATTGAATGAATATCCAGCAATCTGCTTATGCATTTTCTAGTTGACGGCCATTGGGGTTATTTCCAGTTTTGTGCTAGTGTGACTATAGCTATTATGAACATTCTTGTACATGTCTTTTGGTGAACATGTGTACTCATTTCTCTTGGGTATATACCTAGAAGTGTGTAGGCACGTTTTTGTCTTAGTAGCTACCACCCAACAGTTCTCCAGAGTGGTTGCATCAAGGGAGTTTTGACTTTAGCCTGAGGAAGACTGGAAACAGTGGGATGAAATTTCCATTTTACTCTGGCATCCCCTATGGAAGATGGGTGAGACTGTAGACAGACTAGTAAGGAATCACAGACTAGGAGTAATAGACCAGGTGAGGGATGATGAGGCCCTGAGTTCTGGAGGCTTGCATGGAGGGAGAGGATGGTTCTGAGAGATGATAAGAAGATAGACTTGACACAGTTGTTTGCATGTAGTAGGGAGGGAATGGAGTCTAGGATGGCCGCCAGGTCTCTGACTTGGTGTTGGCAGAATGGTGGCACCCTTCTCTGAGAGAGGGAGCACTTAGAAAGGAGCAGGTTTGAGGCAGAAGATGAGCTCTTTTTTGAACATCTTGAATCTGAGAGACCTATGTGAGATCAAGGTGGAGGTATCCAGTAAGCAATTGGATACATGGAACTGAAGTTATGGGAAGAGATCCAAGCTGGAGATTTCTGTTATGGAAACAAGGGAATGGGTGAACTTTCAGGAAGGGGGTGTAGAAAGAGGATCCCAGAAAGATGATTGAGAAGGCATTTCCTGAGAGGTAGGAGAAAAATCAGGAGCTTGGCCTGCTGTGATGAAAATCCAGGGAAAAGGAGTTTGCAAAAAGAGTTTCCAAAAGCTGCTGAGAAATAAAAAAAGATGGGCATTGAAAGGGGTCCAGTGAATACAGAGTTTAACCTAGCCATACATGGTGCAGAGGCACCCAGGGTCTTCTGTCTCCACAGTCTTTCTGTGCTAGAAGCCCACACGGGCGAGATGGGCTGATTGGGGCTATCTTCCCTCTCAGGTCTTGTTCACTGGCCTCTCAGCCTGAGGCAAGGGAGAAGGAGAGGAGGAGGGAGATACAGCCTCAGTCTAGGGACAGTGGCTGTGGCCTCTCAGAGAAGTTTGTGGAGACCTCAGCTGGACAATAGAGGGCAGATGGCAGCTAGTGCAGGGCTCACCAAGTCCCTCCTGACATTGGAACACTGAAAACATTGACATTTGAACACAAATTTCCCCTGGAGCCTTTCCCCTATGGAAATTTCCAGTTGTAAACCATACTGACTTTAATCTGAAGTGTCAGAAAGGTTGCCCAGGAGTCTGGGAGCCAACCAGCTGAAAGCACATTTGTGTGGAAGTCGGGGCAAACAAAATAGGATTCAGAACATTTTTTGAGATTTGCGCCAGTGGTGAACTTTTCCAGGAAACATGACAAAACTGACCCTCTTAAGCAAAACACTGGGTCTTATCATAATTAATTTGTATTCTTCCTGAAACATAAACTTGGGGAAATGGTGAAGGGAAAGAACAGCACATGTCTTATTTCTTTACCAGGCACAAGGGGCTGGAGGAGGCTCCCATAGAGTTTAATGGGCAGCTTTATGTATTTCTATGCTTTGACTGGAGCTAAAGAGGTCTGTGCCACACAATGGGCAGTTTCTAGTTGGATTTTAAAAGAAAATAACTTTGATCATTTCAAAAGCAATGAAGCCTGATGCAGCGAAGAGAAAAGAAAGCGGTAATTTATGGCTACCATTAAGGACACAAAGACAAAGGCGGAGGGAACATTTCACTAAGTGAAGATTTACAAATGTGTAAAAACCATCCTTATGACTAAAAATAGCGGAGTGTCTCTCGGTACCAAACAAAAGGGGATAGGAGGGAGGGGCAAAGACAGAAAGAGGGATGCAACCTGCCTGCCTTCACTGGGGATGAAAAGGTCAAAAGAAAAACAACCACAGAAAAGTTATTTTCTCAGATTCTCCATCAGGCAGCAGCACTAACAATGAAGGCCCAAAGAGGCAGTCTTCACCTAGGCCCATGGGCATGGGAAGGACAGGGGCCGCAGTCGGGGCGTAGTGCTACAGAGTGGAGAGCTCTGGGAAGGGCATGGACCCCAGGAAGACATGTTTTTGTGCATGAGTTAGGTGGGTATTTTTTGTGATGTTTATTTTTTTTCTGATTACCAAAGGTGTGTTTGTGTGTGTGAATAGATAGATCTATATATACACTATTCATATATATTCATTATTGAATTTTCTCCTGTAAATATATACACACATACACATACATATGTATGTATGTATGTATGTATGTATGTATGTATGTATGTATATTTACAGGAGAAAATTGGATAAAGAGGAGCTCTGATTAAAACCACTCAGTATTTTCTTGCATCTCGAAATTGTAGCGGCATTTATTCCTGGAGTGATGCTGAGTGTAGTGGGCTCTGTCATCCGTGGCAAGGGGGGTATGGGAAGTCCCTGTATACATGGGTTCCCTTGTAAGGACTGTCTTGCTTGGAGGGCCAGCTCACGTTTGCCACCTGCATCTGCAGCTGGCCCAATCTGACATTATGAGTTCAGGTGGTCATAGATACCATCTGTGCCTCAGGCAAAATTGGTGGTTTCTTGTCCTTGGTGCTCACCTTTGACCTCTAGCCCCCTTTCCCTTCACGTTTTGGCTGCCCTGTACATACACATTGAACTAGTGTTCAGTGAGATGAGCATCTTCTGCTGTGATTCCTGGCCCATTAGTGCACCAGAGAGGCACAGTCTAAGCAAGTGCCTCAGTGGGACAGGTGGGACACTGCCTGGGGCTGGGGATCACAGAAGGCTTGGGCTGGACAGAATGGAGAAGGGTGCAGAGTGTGTGTGAAGGTGAGCAGGGAAGCTGGGGTTGTCTCCCCTGAATCTCCTGAGGGTTCAACCACATTACTCACCCCAAGTGGAGAGGTGGGAAAGCCCTACAGGTGGCCTTGGAGTTCAGGGAGTATAGGATTTTGAGCTACACAGGACACTTTCTGGGAGCCTCGAGTCTGAATATTTCAGGCCAGAGTGCTATTTGTCCTCACAAAGAGGGACTGGGTCAAGTTGTAGGGCACTGCAAACGGGCAGAGCACGAGGCTCTGAGGGCTGGAACGGAGCAGCGGGGGTGCAGGAGCAGCGGGTTTGGCGACGGGGCCTGCACTGGGGACGCTGACAGCCGCCCTCCGGCCACCACGGCCGCGCCCCCTCCACCCCGAGCCCGGAGGGGGAAGGGAGGGGGACGGGAGGGGAGGCACTGCCCCCCGCGCCGCCCGCCCCGGCCCGGGGAGGACCGTGTGAAAATGAGGCCGGGGCTCGGGGGCCGGGCGGGGCCGGGCTGGGGGTGTCAGAGCGCGGCGGGCAGGGCGCCCGCACACACCTCCCGGAGCCGCCGCCACGCTCGCCGCCTCTGCCCGCAGCCGCCGCGCCATCCATGGGGGTCTTGGGCCGCGGCTGCCCCGGGACGGCCGGGGCGCTGCTGCCGCTGCTGCTGCCGCTGCTGCTGACCGCGGCCGTCCCGCCCGGCCGGAGCCGCGCCCCAGGGCCGCCTGAGGGTGAGTGTCCGCACCTCCGGAGCCTCGGGGACGCACCTGGCAGGGGCATGCGGAGCTGGCGGCGGAAAGGGGTCCCGGGCCCCCTGGTGGGGTCGCGCCGCGCTGGCCCGCCCCGGGCTCGTCTGCGGAAGCTCCGCGTGGCCCCCGCTCCCCTGGGGCCTCACCCGCGGGCCAGGCCACGGAACCACCACCGCTTGGGCTAGAGGCCCAGGGCCTGAGTGCTGCGGCCCGGCCTCGGACACGGGGGTAATGACAGTTCCCAGCCCGGTCCCGCCGCCCGGGGTCCCTGGAGAGCGCCTGCTAGTCAGACTCTCACCCGCTGAGAAAGACGGAGGGCCCCGGAGTCACCGGGGTCCGGCTCCTCATTGTGTAGATGGGGAAACTGAGGGCCCCGGGCGGGGTACGTCCGTGAGGTCTCTGCAGCTTTGCTCCTTCTTTTCTTCTGGGGCCGGGAAGTTCGGCCGGCTTCAGGGTTGGCTCCGGAGAGTTTTCTGCTGGTTGAGGATCCATCCGGGAATACCCCGTAAGCCGCAACAAACCTGGGTTTTTTGTTTTGTTTCGTTTTGTTTTGTTTTCTGCTGACAGAGAAAAGTACTCTGGACGTTCTGTATTAACAGGACTCGTAATATTTTCAAAACTTTTGTTTTTAATTAACATCCTGGAGTGGTGTCAACCCAGGAAATACTTCCACCAAGGCCGGTTTCCAGGTTGACAGGGTGAGCAGCTGGTTGATGGGGTGTGGGAACCATTCCCACTTTGCACCTCCATCTGAGGGCTGGGGATGGTGTGGTCAGAGCCCAGGGCAAGCTACTCCCCCATCCCCCAAACCCTGAGAAAGCTGACATTGCCTGGTTTTCACAGTGCTTTGTTTTGTTTTGTTGCCAAACTGGTCTTTCCTTCAACAGGCATTTGTTATTGCCTACTCATGTGCCAGGCACTGTGCTTGGCATCAGGGACACCCACTCAGTCTGTAATCAAGACACCATTTAGAGGGGAGGTCAGGCAGGAAAACAGAGAGTGACAATTCTGTGTGATATGTGCTATGAAAGGAGATAAATATGGGAGCAGGTCGTGGAGGACACCCACCTACACTGGGGGATCATGGTAGGCTTCTTGGAGAAGGTGAGTGAAAAGGGTGTGTGGGTGTGTGTGTGTGGGGGTGTATTCTAGTCAAAGGGAACAGGCTGTGCCTGGGAAAGGAGCCTGGAAGTGGTATGGTTCATCCCGGGGTTCCCAAAGAGTTTAGCTGATGAGGAGTGAAGGGGGGCGTTCTGGTGGGAGGTGAAGTTACCAGAGGACCAAGGCCGGATCACAGAGGGCTTGGGGCACCATACCAAGTGCTTGCTATGCTCTTTTGCAGATGTGGACGAGTGTGCCCAAGGGCTAGATGACTGCCACACCAATGCCCTCTGTCAGAATACACTCACCTCCTACAAGTGCTCCTGCAAGCCTGGCTACCGAGGGGACGGCAGGCAGTGTGAGGGTAAGTGACTGGGGTACCTGTGGTGAGTGGGCCAGCAGGTGAAGCTCCCTACCTCCTCAGCACTTGTAGTGACCACTCATGTTGGTAAAAGTGCTGCTCCTCTGCCCCCCCAGGTCATACCACCCACCCCCAAAATCCATTTCAGACCCTTAAAGCACTAGGAACATCAGGTCTTTCCTAGAGCTGATCATACAGTTTTATGTGGTTCCGAAATGTCCTTTTATCTGGCTTGTGAAAAAGAAAAGAAGTGCTTTAGTATTTTTGGTGCCTATCAGTTTGGGAGCAGAAAGCCCCAATCAGGAGAGCCGTGCCTGCCAGGGAAGGGCTGATCCTGCGCCTCCCTGGGGCAGTTTACACCCTCGCCCAGGAGTCTGAGTGCAGGAGTCTTGCCCTCCACTGCTGGCTCTGGAGGCTCCATCTTGTTCTTGGCTTCAGGCTGGCGTTGTGACCTCCCAAACTTTAGAGGTACACCAAGCGCCAGCCTTATTTGAAGCTGCATGTTCACCCTGGAAAGATGTAGGCAGAGGGATACCTTGAGCCCTTGGAGTTCCAGATCTTTGAGCTAAAGTCTGATCTCTGTCATCCTGTGTTCTGGGCCAGTGTCATGAATTCTGAAATTCAGAACTAGCCAGAGACTGGGTACTGAAAGGAGGAGGCTATTCCTGGGGATGGTAATCATGGCATGTTGGAACTGGCAGGGCTCTTCAGGGGAGCTCTGACATTCCTATCCCTCAGATGTGAGACCCTGAGGCCCCTGGGGAATTGAGAGGGGGGCTTGTGGCCATAATAACACAGTTAAAAGAAAAGTGAAAGAGGGGCACCTGGGTGGCGCAGTCGGTTAAACGTCCGACTTCAGCCAGGTCACGATCTCGTGGTCCGGGAGTTCGAGCCCCGCGTCAGGCTCTGGGCTGATGGCTCAGAGCCTGGAGCCTGTTTCCGATTCTGTGTCTCCCTCTCTCTCTGCCCCTCCCCCGTTCATGCTCTGTCTCTCTCTGTCCCAAAAATAAATAAACGTTGAAAAAAAAAATTAAAAAAAAATAAAAAAAGAAAAGTGAAAGAAAGTCAGACGTCTACCCTATCTCTGTCCCTGGACCCATATCTCTTGTATTCACTCAGCCTCCTGATGTCCTTCTTTGGTGAGAAATCCTGATATTTATACTTTGTGCATGAGGAGCAAAACTTGCCTCTCCTATCAGAGGAGACATGCTCCTGGTCAGGTTCGTAGCAAATGGGGTTGGTAGTCTATCCTTAAAGCCCTTGTGTTTCTTCAAGTTCGTGTTTTCCCAGAGATAGGCAGCCATCTCTCACCAAAAGACTACCTCTCCCTGAGACATCTCTCTGCAGGTTCCTCCATACCACACTCTCACTGTATTAAATATTCTATTTACAGTACTGGAATTCACACATGTTGGTACCCTGCTTGGGGGAAAAATGTTCACTCTTTCACTGGTTTTCCAGTCACTGTATACTCTCTGGGGGTGGAGATGGGCAGAAACTGTGCTATGGTTTCTTTGAGTTAGAATACATATTTAGTAAGTGATGTTGAATGACAAGTGGCAGGAATTTCCTTATTCTTAGCTGTTGGGCTTGACGTATGACACATGGAATTGAATTGCTGACAGTTTATAGCTGAAAAGCCTACTATTTAGCTTAAAATAACTAAAATGATTGACTGGAATTGTTGCTTTTATATATTTAAATTGGCTCTAAAATGATAATATGTATTATTGGTATAAAAGTCAAACAATACAGAAAATGTATGAAATAGTATCTTTTATTTATTTATTTTTAAGTTTACTTATTTATTTTGAAAGAGAGAGTGAGAGAGCATGCCATGAGTGGGGGAGGGAAAGAGAGAGAGAGGGAGAAAGAATCCCAAGCAAGCTCCCTGCTGTCAGCACTGCATCCTACCAGGGACTGATTGAAGGGCTTGATTGAAGGGCTTGATCTCAGGACTGTCTCAGGGCTCAATCTCACAAACCATGAGATCGCGACCTGAGCAGAAATCAAGAGTCTGATGCTTAACCAACTGAGCAACCCACGAGCCCCTAGAGGGGTTTGATCTTTTAAATGCTTGTAATACTTTTGAATACATATGAAGTTATGTTTTTTCATTATAAGAATTGATATGGTAGGAATTGACACAATAAGTGAATGTCTTGTGTTTCCTCACAATAAAATTAAGGTTATGCATTTGTAGTAATACACAAAGTAAAAGTAAAAAGTAAAAGAAGCTTTTGTCAAGGCTACTATGGAAGTGCTATTATACACTTTTTAGTGCATTACATGGGGAGGAGACACATGATGTTAATATGTCCCACTACTGGTGATATTAACCTTGATCACCTGGTTAAGATGGTGCATCCTGAGGGGAAAAAAGTTACAAACAGAGATGGAGGCAAACCGTAAGAGACTCTTAAATACAGAGAACAAACTGAGGGTTGATGGGTGGGGAGGGCAGGGAAAATGGGTGATAGGCATTGAGGAGAGCACTTGTTGGGATGAGCACTGGGTGCCGTATGTAAGTGATGAATCATGGGAATCTGCTCCTGAAGCCAAGAGCACACTGTATACACTGTGTATTAGCTAACTTGGCAATAAATTATTTAAAAAAAAAAAATGGTGCATCCTGGGTTTCTCTGTTGCAAAATTACTATTTTTTCTTTTTGCAATAACACATATCTTAGGGTAGATACATTCAGCCTGTGCTAATACTCTGTTACTTCTCAAGTATTTTTTTTAAATCTTTTTAAAAAATGTTTGTTTATTTTTGAGAGAGAGAGAGAGCACAAGCAGGGGAGGGGCAGAGTGAGAGGGAGACACAGAATCCGAAGTAGGCTCCAGGCTCTGAGCTGTCAGAGCAGAACCAGATGCAGGGCCCCAACCTACAAACCATGAGATCATGATCTGAGCTGAGCTTAGCCAACTGAGTCACCAGGAGCCCCTCTTCTCAAGTCTTTGCCCACTGATTTTGGCAACCAACTGTGGATCTTGTCTGCAACAATTATTACTATGATGTAATAATTGGTAATTTTGTATTTCCCTCATTCCATATACATCTATTAACTGAGATTCTTCTGTAAGGAAGACTTGTTGCTTCTCCCCCATTTATTTATGCATTGATTTATGTATTTATGCCAGTATGGACTGGTAGATATTTAATTATATATATAGTTATTTGTTTTGGGCTCAAATTGTTTCAGCTTTAGCCATTGGGAGCTCCTTCACATTGTTTCCTGTGTCCTTTTGACATGCCCCCATCCTTTTTGGGGGCAATTCTTTGTTTTCTGGTACCATAAGATACCACAGACTCATCTTGTATTTTCCCTTCCCAGCCCTGGAACCAACCACTTCTTTAAGGAGCCCTGGTTTCTTTTATTGGAAAATGGTATATAGAAACCAAGATCTGAATGCTTGGTGTTCTTACTGTTACTGGGATGTCACTGCTCCTAGGCTATCTCACTGCACAAAACTAGGAAACATATGTATGTATTCTAACCCACATATACACATTTATCTATATTTATTGCTTATATTTATCCATTTGTATATATATTAAAAACAATGACTTACACTGATGATGCTTTGGATTCCAAAACAATGCCACAAGATTCATTGAATCTCCCTCTTTGGTTATTCATAACTTCTTTTTCCAACAGTGAGAAAGGTGGCTCTCATTTTCTGCAAGATAGTTACTTGTTTGTTGAATCCAAGTGTACACATAAATAATTTACAACACTATTAATCTATAGCCTTGCAAGTAAAACAGATTCACGAGAGTACAGTATCTGTTTGTAGCTATCTTTATTTTTAGCCTTACAACATTCAGTTAATATATTGGTTTTCAGAGTCACTTGGTGTTAGTACTTTTTTTTTTCTACATTTCCTTCAGTGTGGTTGTTATTCATTTGTAATACAGTTGAGTTCATTTGTTTCTGTTTGTATCCTATTTTTTATGTGTTCTTCCCCCACCTCTGTATACTAGATTATATATGTATGTACATAAGAAGATGTGTATTTACTTATGTATATATGTATGTATTCATCTATGTATCACTATGGTGCTGAGAGTCAAAACTATATAAAAAGGCATACTCAGGGGCGCCTGGGTGGCTCAGTCGGTTAAGCGTCTGACTCTTGGTCTTGGTTCAGGTCATGATCTCACAGTTTGTGTCATTAAGCCCCACATTGGGCTCTGTGCTGACAGTGTGTAGTCTGCTTGAGATTCTCTCTCTCTCTCTCTCTCTCTCTCTCTCTCTCTCTCTTTCTCTCTCTCTATTTAAAGTTTAAATAAACTTTAAACACAAAATAGAATAAAATAAAATTAAATTAAATTAAAAGGCATACTCAGAGAAGTATTACTCCTTCTCCCTATTCTTGTTCCTCTGTTCCTCATTCCTCCTCTCTCTCTCTTTTTTAATGTTTATTTATTTATTTATTTAGAAAGACAGAGAAAGAGACCATTCATGTGAGCAGGAGAGGGGCAGAGAGAGAGCAGGGGAGGGACTGTTGGGGCAGAGCCAGACGTGGGGCTCAATCTCACAAACTGTGAGATTGTGACCTGAACCAAAATCAAGAGTCCAATGCTTAAACCGACTGAGCCACCCAGGTGTTCCTCATTCCTTCTTTTCATCCTTTTCCCACATACCATGGATTGATTACCAATCTTTTTTAGTTTCTGATTTATTCTCCTGCCTCCTAGATTTCTTTTGCAGCAAATGTGTAATTTTCCTTTTAACTACTTTAGTGAATTCTAATTTGTATACCATAAAAGACACCAATTCTAAATAAGTATAAAAATCAATGATTTTGAGTAAATTAGCTGAGTTGTGCAGCCATCACATAATCCGCTTTTCAGACATTTTCCTTGTCTCAGTAAGATCCCTTATGCCCAGGTACAGTTAATCCTTATTCCCAGCCCCAGCTCCAGGCAACCTCTAGTCTACTTTCTGTCTCTATAGATTGGCCTTTCTGGATATTTCATATAAATAGAATCATACAATATGTGGTCTTTTGTTTTTGGCTTTTTAAAAAAAATTTTTTTTTAAATGCTATTTTTTAATTTATTTTTGAGAGAGAGAGACAGAGCGTGAGTAGGGGAGGGGCAGAGAGAGACGGAAACACGGAATCTGAAGCAGGCTCCAGGCTCCAAGCTGTCAGCACAGCCCAACGTGGGGCTCGAACTCGTGAACCACAAGATCACGACCTGAGCTGAAGTTGGCTGCTTAACCGACTGAGCTACCTAGACGCGCCTCACCCAGCATGTTTTTGAGGTTCATCCATGTTGTAGCCTGTACTGGCATTTTATTTTATTTTTTAATTGTTAACTAGCATTCTGTTGTATGGACATACTATATTTTGTTTATCCATTCACTAGTTGATGGACATTTGGCTTGTTTCTACTTTTGGGCTATTATAAGTAATGTTGCTATGAACATTTACCTGCAAAGTCTTTGTTATGGACATAATTTTTCATTTCTCTTGAATATATACCTAGGAGTGAACTTTCTAGATCACACATGGTAAAGTTATGTTTAACCTTTTAAGAAACTGCTATACTGTGTCCAAAGTGGTGCCATCTTACATTGGCATCAGCAGTATATAACGGTTCCCATTTCTCCACATCCTATTGTTTGTCTTTTTAAAAAAATAACTATTTATTTATTTTTGAAAGAGAGAGAGAGAGAGAGTGCAAGTGGAGGCAGGCCAGAGAAGGATCTGAAGTGGGCTTGGCACTGACAGCACAGGGCCCGATCCATGCAGGGCTCAAACTCATGAACTGTGAGATCCTGACCTGAGCCGAAGTCAGGCGCTTGTTTAACTGACTGAGCCACCCAGCCTCCCCTATTGTCTGTCTTTTTTTTTATCATAACTGTTCCTGTGAGTGTGAAATGGTATCTCACTGCAGTTTTAATTTGAATTCCCCTAATAATTAATGATGTCGGCCGTCTTTTCATATGTTTTTTACCCATTTGTATATCATCTTTGGGTGACATGTCTATTCAAATCTTTGCCCATTCGAAAATTGGATTGTTTGTCTTCTTTGTTGTAAGAGTCCTTTGTAAGTCCTTTATAACGTATGTGATTTGCAAATATTTTCCACCAATCTGTGGCTTGTCTTTATTTTCATAAGTATAAAAGTTGTAAATTTTGATAAAGTCCAACTTATTAATTTTAAAATTTATGAATTGTGTGTTTGGTGTTGTATCTAAGAAATCTTTACCTAATCCAAGGTCTCAAGATTTTCTCATAAAAGTTTTATGTTTTCTCTTTAAAGTTTTATAGTTTAAGCTCTTATATTTGGGTCTCTGATCCATTTTGAGTTGATTTTTGTGGAGATATGAGGTAAGGGTCCAAATTCATCTTTTGCTGATGGATATTAATTGTCTAAGCACCATTTGTTGAAAAGACTATCATTTCTCCCAACAAATTGGACAAGACGATCATTTGTCCCAACAAATTAGACAAGAGTGCTAAAGCACTCTTATCTAAAATCAAGTGACCGTAAATATAATGGTTTATTTCTGGACTCTATTCTGTTCCATTGATCTGTTTTTCTTTATGCCTGTATCACACTGTCTTGATAACTATAGATTCTTGGTAAGTGAAAGTCCTCCAAATCTGTTCTCCTTCTTCAAAATTGTTTTGGTTCTTCTGAGTCTTTTGCGTTTCTATATAAATTGGATAAGCTTGTCAAGTTCTGTCAAAAAACATGCTGGAATTTCATGTGTGTGTTTTTTCATATTCCCTTATTTTTTTTCCCTGATAATAAACTATGGGTACTCTCACATTTTGATTTTTTAACTTAGTAGTATATCCTAGAAATCACCCTAAATCAGTTCATAGAAATATTTCTCATTCTTTATTTTTTTAATTAATTAATTTTTAACTGCTGCACAGTATTGGATCGAATAAATGTACTGTAGTTCTTCAACTACTCTCTCCTATGTATGGGCATTTCGGTTGTTTCTAGTATTTTGTGATTACAAACAGTACTGCAGTGAATTACCTTGTGCATATTTATTTTCCTGTTGTTGGAGATGTATCTTGAGGATAGAGTCCTAGAAGTGGGATGGCTGGTTGGAAGGTAAATACATTATATCTCCATACTAAAGAGATGCCACCTGTCTGGCTTCTGTTTTATTCCTCAGACATTGATGAATGTGAAAATGAATTCAACGGAGGCTGTGTCCATGACTGTTTGAATATTCCAGGCAATTATCGCTGTACTTGTTTTGATGGCTTCATGTTGGCTCATGATGGTCATAATTGTCTTGGTAAGGAAAACAGTTGGAAATCGCAATTCTACTGTACCTACCCTCTGGCACCCCACCCTTTTCTTTCCTTTGATGAAAACATACTCATTAAAACAAAAAGGGGATCAGAGACTTGTGTTTTCTGGCCCCCTCAAAATCATAGTCCCTGAGAGAAAACCAGGTAAAGTGCTTTGGTTTATATGTGATCATTCATAATGTAAATTCTCCATTAGTCTAAGGAGATGGACAACATCATTGTTACTACGTATTGACTTTCTAGCATTGACTTGTCACCTTTAAGATCTTTGATTTAATGCTATAAGTATCTCTATTCTAGAATTAGGTAAAACTACTTATTCTGAAAATTCCAAATATGTGATTGGATTTCAGCCAGGTAACCCCACCTCCTTTTTTCTTGAAAGGCAAAGGGGTTCAAACAGAAACCTTCCATTAACATCATCCTATTATCCCACAAAACAGAAACATCTGTCGGAGTTTTAGTTCCTGAGTTACGGACTGCAAAGAGCATTGTTTACATTGGTTGCTTATGCCAGGAATAAACAGAATTCAGAAATAGCAAGCAACTGGATGGGACTGGGTGTGGAATAGTCTTAGAGGATGCAGCACACTTGGCAGAAAGGTATTCCTGGTCTGTTTGCATTTTAAGGCTGGTGTTATCAGTTGTGCAGGAGGATATCATGGGACAGAGATGGCATCAGGGTCCTTTGATGCTGATGACCTTTTATGCGGTTAACCTGCTGATATCTGCTTGGCTGACCAAGGAGTAACTTGAACCAGGTCCTGACACAGAGTGGACAGCTACTGAGATGCTCCCTTATAGTACAGGGGGAATGGCCACTTGATTAAATGCTTTGAGATCAGCATAGATAAGTACAGACAGAACTTGTTTTTTGAGTGGTAGAAAAGGAAAGTCTTTCCAAAGTCTTTTGATTCTGGGAATCAATCCTTGTATGATGTTTATCCCGCTTCACTGTCACCTGGAACCCCATCCTGAAATAGATTCTGTCCCTTCCTATTTGTGCTGTGTGAGAGGTCAGTCTTTGGGTCAGACCACTTGGTCCTCCAAGCCTGTAGCTGTCAGGAAGATTTGATTGAGGCCTGGGGGCTCACTAACCCCTTTGCAGACTGTCTAGGGCAGCCAGGCCTCAAAAAGACACTAGAGAGACCATCATGACAACAATAATCAATTGAGATTAATTAAAAACTGAACAAAATATGAAGTCACTTTCAGTGTGTAATATTTTGGGAAGCATGCAGTATGTTTGGAGGGTTTGGCTTTGTTTTTTTACCATTATCTGGGGTAAATCTCACATGTCCTTTTGGTTTGCCAAAAGTGGCATTTTGGGAATTTATATCTAATGGCAGATCTAGTCATTACAGTTTTGCCTAAACCCCAAGTTGTGCTTGGGAGAATGTGTGAGATTCTTAAGAGCAACAGGCCAAACTATGCAGGGTTTAAGGACCTGGGCCAGCGTTGGGTCAGGTGGTTGTGAGGAAAGGCCAGTTCAGAAATCCTCAGCCCAGGAGTCTTTTCCTTGCCTTGTCTGCTAACACAGATATTTCAGCAGCCTCTCTCCATTCCCCCTCTTTGGGGTCTCTTTGTGGACTTGGTAGCAAGGATCTTCCTGACAGAAAGAGCCTGAGTATCCACTGAGTGTATCCAAAGGGGCAAACGATTCTTTAAAGGAAGCCATGAGAAATAAAGTGATATAGTTAGAAGAGCAGGACCAGCAGATACAGAGATTTCTCTGCCATTTAGACTTGAAAGGGTTGAAGCATTTTGTGACAAGGAAGCTCAGAGCCAGAACTTTTCAGGAGCAGTACTTTCCTGTGTTCTCTGGGATGACCCCTTGCCTCTCCTCAGCCCCTTACCACATACTAGCTACAATATACCAGAATATACACAGTACAAATACTACTTAAATCTGGCACCAAACCCAGACTGCTCCAAGATCCTGAATGCCATTGAGCTTGAAAAACAAAATGTAGCTCTTCCACATAGCTCACCTGCCTGAATTCAGTTTCCATTTTTTGAGTGTCTGGGGGTGCATTGTAGCTATTCAGTGTGGGGGCCGTGGTTCTCAACTCTGGCTGCACGTTAGAATCACTGGAGAAGTTTAAAACAACACCACTGCCTAAGTCTCATCCAAGACTAGTTATATCAGTGTCTCAGGAGGTGGGTCAAGCATCTGGGTGCTAACATGCAGCCAGGGTGGAGAACCACTGTTTTGCAGTCTAGAGAAACTTGCCAGGCTAGTGATACCTCTTTGTGCATGTGAACACACACACTTTTGTATTAATTCAGTCAGAGTGTGTCACTCAATGGCACATTTCTAATTGCTTTGGAGAAAGGAATAGTGGGTTAAATGGAGGGTGGGTGGGTGATGGCTCAGAGGGGAGCACACCTTTATTCAAAACCAATCCAGGATTTGGTGTTCAGGGAAACAGATCTCTCCAGCTCACCATGAGTCCTCACCATGGAACACCTTGGCCAGGTGTGTTCCAGAGTAGCTCATCCTTTGGAATGTGCTCCCTTCACCCTTTGGCATAGAGAAGGGCAAGTTTGTTAGGCTTAAGGGGATGGCTCGGGTCCCATCAGTTTAGAAAGGCATCTGCCTGGTAGTGTGGGAGGATGCATGACTGTAAGATCAGAAACTTGAAACCAGATAACAGATATTTAAATGTGAATTTTCTTGTTATGGATGTGCCCAGAAGCTAATGATAGGCACATGGGAAATCAGGCTAGAGAAATAAATTGCTTTTATATCAGCCTTCTCCTTGAGTCTTTGTCATGTCTGAGATTTTTCGGGAAGTTTCCTCTTATTTGGCTCTAGTGATGCTGTGCTCTCCTGCTTTTTTGTTCATGCATTGAACAATTAATGTGCACCTGAAGTTCCAGGGCTATGCTAAATAAAACAAAGGTCTCTGTCCTCAAGGAGTTCACAGTCTAGCGGAGATGGATAGGTAAAAGATTTTGAGGGGTCCAAGGTACAAATTTAAAAAAAGAAGATTTTGAGAATACACTATGGTAAGTGTATTGGTAGAGCCATGCACAGAGTAATTCATGACACAGTGGAAGGAAAGTCCCCTAACTCCATCCTGGGGGGCACAGAAAGACAGAGGAAGATTTACTCCCTTTCTGTCTTTCTGATGGCTCCTCTTCTGGGGCTTCTGCTGTCTCACCTACCTCCTGCTGCTGGTATTCTCCCGAATTCTACCTCTGGCTATGTGCTCTCTGCAACCCTTCTGTCCCTTCCCACACTCCTGCCTGGTGCTTTCTTATCTACATCCACCACTTTATAAGGCCACCACAAGTAAATGACTCTCAGAGGTGTCTTTACAACACCAGACTCAGGTTTCCCTCTGCTACTGGACCAAGGCCTGAATGTCAGCATCTCACATATATCACCTCCCTACCGTGGTGGGGGCCAACCACAGCCCCATCCCCATTTCCCTACCCAGCTCTGGTCTTCACCATGTTTCTCGGCCACCCTACCCGATGCCCATGTGGCTTTCCACCCTGCAGGCACCTTGCCCACAGTGCTTCTGTTTTTTCCTTCCTAGGCATCCCCTCAGCCAGGCCCCAGGCCCTGTCCCCGACTAGCACCAGCTGAGGCTATTTCAGGTTCACATGTGAAGCCAGGCTTTTGATTCTTCTCCTTCCTTGTGTCCTACCCTTGGCTATCACCTTATTCTTCCTAACTCCAGGATCTGGCCATGCCACCCTTGCTACAGTGGTTCCAACTGCCTCTTAGATTAAGAGACAGGTATTCAAGGTCCTCCACAGAGTGACCCAATCTATTCCCAGCTTTATCTCCTATAACTTCCCTGCATGTACCCATGCTCCAGCCAAAGGAATGACTCACCCTTATCTGAACATGCTCCATGCTCCCCAGCATTTGTGCTATGCTCATACTCTTTCTTTTGTCCAGAATCCCTTCTCCTGATTTAGAACTGAAGACATCCCATCTTCCATCAGCTTTTCCATAAAACCCAACCTGATACCCCACAACCAGGTAGCCTCTTTTTCCCTTGTACCATCTTTTACTGTATCTCACAATTACCTGTACGTTTGTCTCTTTCCCTTTGCTGAAGGCCATGCTCCTAGAGCAAAAGAATTTGATCCTACTCATCTGTGTTTTACTGTCCCCTCTAGCACCATACTTTGGAAAGAGAAGGTGTTCAATAAATATTTACGTAATATATTATCTTGTATTCATGTGGAGGGCCTGCTTAAGTGAGCCCCAGAACTTTGTGGTCTTGGGTCCCTGCTAGCGTCAATTCTGAGAGTTTCTGTGATGCAGGGAAGGAAGAGGGACCTCATCTCTGCTTAGCGGGTGTCCTGAGATGCTGGGAGGGGTGGGCATTTGAAACAGTCACAAAAGCAAAGGCTAATCCTCCTCTCCCTCCAGATGTGGATGAGTGCCTGGAGAACAATGGCGGCTGCCAGCACACCTGTGTCAACGTCATGGGGAGCTACGAGTGCCGCTGCAAGGAGGGATTTTTCCTGAGTGACAATCAGCATACATGCATTCACCGCTCCGAAGGTGCCTCTGCTCTGCTGTGGGCCTGGGCAGGGGGGGGAGGGTGCAGGGGGGCAAGGAAACCCCTCACCCTGAGTGAGTTTAGAGGGGAAGTACAGAGTATAGACATTCTGGAGGCTTGTGGATGAATCTAGACCCTGCTACTGGGTGAACCCTGGGCAAGCTATTTTAGCTTCCACTTCCTCACCTGGCAAAATAAGTGAGTTGGGCTGGGTGAGCTCTGAGAGCTCTTTAAACTCTCACATTCCTGATTCTAATCTTTAAATAGAGAACATTTCAAACATGACTAGGTGTCTCAGGAAGAATGTAATGGACAATCTGCCAAGTTTTTCAAAACGGTGCTGCAAACCACAGCCCCAAGCGCGAGCCTGCTCTGAGCTCTGGGTGGGCAGGGAGGGGCTGGAGCCTTTTTATAAGGACTTGCAGACCCAGATCTGGCCTTCCCTGGGTTTCCCATTTTTGAACCCTGAGCCTCTGGCATTCTAGGACCCCCTCCCAACAAGTGGGCTTTCTATGCTGTGGTTTTCCTGTGTGGCTGCTTATGATTCCTCCATAAATTTGTAGACAACTCTTCTGATGGCCTCCCTTTTGTTCTCTTTGCTTTGGGCCTATACTTTTTTTAAATTCCTCTATTAGTTCAGTGGATTCTTAGGAGGGAGAGGCATTAGGAACACGTGGCCAGTCAGCCACTTTTAACTGAATGACATGTTTTTAATTCTCTGCACTTTCTTAAGCCAAAGAACCACATTTTGGTGGCTGTATTTCTCCTGGGGTTGCCTGAGTCTGTTTTTGAGGGAAATGCTCTAAACATTAGACTATTAACTCCTTTTGGCATGTGGTGCTGCTTGTTCATTGTCATAACTTAAGAATGAGGTGATTTCAAGTTCTTCTACTATTTCATCACACATTTGTAGATTTATTGTTAAATCATGGTTCTTGTGACTTTCCAAGGGTGTCTTTTTGGAGGATGATTTCTGCTTCATTTTCCAAGAATGATGGCTCCTTCCTTGTACCTGACTTAGGAAGCCTGTTTGGGTAGTAAGAAGAATGGTCATGGGCCAGTGGGTTTGAGGAGTCTTATCATCTTGAGCTTGCTAGTTCTCAAGGTTTGGGTGGGATGGACAAATACTGGTTCTAATCCGGCAGATCTCTTATCTCATGCAGGCATGGCACTTGATAGAGGAGCAGTTGGGTTTAAAGCTCCTGGTAGGTGCTCTGGATTTTTCTGTGAGCCCCGCATCTGGGAATAGGCAGGATTAAGACTCCAGCAGTTAAAAGCGATCTGGATCTCTGGGCACCTCCTCTTTGGTTGCTCAAAGCTGCTTCCTGGGAAGTCACTCGGCTTTCCCTACAGGTGGTGGGGAATGGGGTGGGGACCTGTAGGTCATGCCATTGCTTGAACACAGTATGGATCCTACCCAGTCACAAAGCAGTTTGCAGTGATTAAGATTATCTCTTACTCTTGCACTTCCAAAGCAGTAGCTCAGCCCCTTTCTCCCCTCTGGCGAGACCTCCAGACTGATTACAGACACAGGCTCTTCATAACAGAAGTAAATACAAAAGCAGTTCCTTTTTGCAATCTGTGTTTTCTAAATTTTCTACAATTCAGACATTCTTGGATTCCCTGAAGAGTATTTAAAATGAACTTATTTGTCTGGAGCTAAAGCCAAAATCCAAGAATTTGAGTTGTGGTCTAAGTGTGCTCTCTGTGATTTTCCGTGGTGTTTCAACCTGATTGCTTGGTGAATTCAGGGCAGTGTAAGCCAACAGATTATAGCAGTCTGTAACTGAGACCCTGTCCATCCTAGGGTTTTAACTCTTCAAATAGATCAGTCTGTAAACAGTGTTCCTTTAGGATTTCCTCCTTGATGTGCACATTAAACCCTTAGAACCTGTTATTAAAATGGACTTTAAAACCCATTGTTGATACTCCAAAATTGGTTAAAAGAAGGTGACATTACAAGCTAGTATTTTCTAGTGTTGTGGTTACTTTTAATAATTATTTACTAAATGTTCTTCAATTTAGGGGATCATAATAGATGATTCTGAGGGAAAGCTTAAGCTATTGATTTTTTAAAATTATTATTCTTAGAGACCCCAAGCTCTGATAAAGAGACTGTGTGTTTTCACCCATGTAATGGGGGTAGGCTGGAGAGAGACATACTGCCCCGGCTGGCCTTTGTCCCCATTCATGGGTGCTCAGGCTCTCAAAATGAGCATTCCTCTTTTGTTTTGTCTGGTCTGAGAATATTTTTCGATGCTTGCACCGCTGCCCTTGCAGAGTAGGGGGAAGGTGTCAGGGTAGTGAGGAAGGGGCTGTGCTCTCAACAGGGCCTGTCTCTGTCTTTTGTAGAACATTTCTTGCTCTGTTCGCAAGGCATATATTAATTCAGTTTCCAGAAATATTCTTCAGGGAGACTCTGAGCTGGGGACCACCACAATAGGCTATTTCTAATGTTTTTGTGAGCTATTTCCCTCCCGGTAAACTAAACAACCCTAACCATGACTGCCAGCCCAATTTCTGGGGGGAGCCAGAATCTTGGCTGGGCCTCCCAGTTGGGACCGGACCCATCTGCTTCCCCTAGCAGTGGCATTTTTTTGTGTGTGTCAGGGTACTATGAACAGCTTTCGGGGCACCTTTTGAAAAGCCCCCAGCATTTCCAGAGTCATTTTAACCTCTATTACCTCCTGGTAAGTTTAGGTCTGGCTTGACATGATAGGACATTGGGGGCAACTTTTTGTGTATCCCCATGGCATCTGACACAGTCAATTCTTTCTTTCTTTCTTTCTTTCTTTCTTTCTTTCTTTC